CACTGATCAGACGAATTAGGTGTTTACAGAACAGCTTCTGTCTTCACATTTCGCTGATATTCTTGTACTGTTTTTGCGTTTCAAAGAAGTAATGAGGCTAGAAAAATTGTATGGAACTAAATGGATTTTAGATCTGTTCAAAAGTAGGTTGATGTATATGTTTATTTATTTATTGCAAATATATTGTAAAATATACCTAATTATAATTCACTAATAACGTCGGTGAAATAACTCTTATCAGAGATAATCAATGAAACCGTTGAAATTGTGTCGTGAGTGTGGAAGAGATTCCCTATTGAATGACTATGACAGTTCATGATGAAACACGGATCTCTTATGATGTCACGATAGCGATATTCGTTCTAACAACCACAGAAGCGGTTATTAAACGTGAATGGAATTTCCGGTGAATGTATGAGAGTGTGAATGATATTTGTTTAACAGTGTATATGAGCACATACAATCAAGCATTGTCTGCAATGTGGTGGAAATAAACAGCAACAGAGGAGCATTATTTCAGAAGGTGTGTTGTATTGCTTGTTGTGTGTAGTTTTGTTGCGAATAGCACACTGTGTTTTTATTTGTGTGAAATGGAACGCTGATTTTGATGAATTGTTGTTGTGCAGTCTGAATCATTTTTCGAATGATCGAGTAGTCTAAGGCTTTGAATTTAGGCACAGGTCTGAAACGGGCGTCACACCGGATCCCCCTGCCACAACATACCTAATGTCAATCACACTCATAACACTAGCACGTCACATATAATCACGACCATCGCATACACACCACCTCGATCACACAATAACAGACAATCGTCATCATCAACATCAACAGCAACAATAATGACGACAACACCACAACCATCACGTCACGCTCTCCACATTCTCACTCCATTCCGTGTCATTTCAACAATTCGTTCAATTCACGACACCGACCAGTCAAGCACAGCATTTTACCAAGTCCACTCACACACAACATCGTCTCACTGTATCTAACTGCTGCCACGCATGGTGATGGTTGACGAGTGGTGAGTGAGTGATTGAATGAGTGAGACAGTGTATGAGTGAGGAGATGGTTTCCATCAGGTGTTTTGACCGACTGGTCTGATCTGATGTTGATAATACATGTGCATGTTCGTGTGCGTGTGTGGATTGTGCAATGGTTTGAGTTTAGTATTGTTCTGAATAGCACAGTGTATTTGGATGAGTGTGAAATGGAATGTTGATATTGATGAATTACTGTTGTGCCGTGTCGATAAGATTTTGTGTAGTCGAGTAGCGTACGACGGTGGATTAAGGAAGCATTGTGAAATATTTTCGAAAAAATTCTCTCGAAACACAAATTGTGAAAAATGTATAAATCACATAGGAACGACGAATGCAATCAAAAAATTTGAATTAGAACGGCAAAAAATAGCAAATGATATTCAAACAGAAAAACCATCAAATATCACAAAAAATGGCTAAAAAATTATCAGTCGCAAGGAAGTACAGTAAATGAAATAAAACAGCATGGAGTGATAAGGCGTCAATAATCCTTAAAACCCATTGTCTGCTGTCGGAATACTATCACAACACCACCAAGATCATTTTCATCGCAATTGCGAGAATTTCATTTGTCCGACTTTTCAGACCGAGAGTTGGGGGTAGTATCCCTATATAACATGGCGAGTAAGAGCAGGTGTAAGTCGTCAAGTACAGATCTCCATGTACGTGTACATACTATACATAAGTAACACAAAGCACGCCCCATTGGAAAATATTAATCCGTTCAATAGTGTCGCTTTTGACAACTTACAACACATTATAATTTATAGGGATACGATCGGTTAGTCTCGTTTTCTGTATTCGAACAAATGAAAATGTCGCAAATGCGATGAAAATGATCTTGGTGGTGTCTTTGTATAGTATTCCGACAGCAGACAATGTGTTTTGAGCGTTGTTCAAGCCCTAACGCTTCAGGCCGTGCTGTTTCGTTTACTACCCTATATGTGTGTGCTATACTGTATAAGCTAAATTGCTATGTGGAGCTGAAGGTCTCATATGAGACTGGAGATTCACCATTGATACTGAGAATAGTTGAGCATGATTACTTTGGCAAGTTTGCTCACTGCTCATACGTAAAGTCGGTTTGCTGGTTAACCGATTTCATTGATACATCTTGCATTTGACTGATACATCTCACAATGTGTTGTAAGTTGTCAAACAGATATTTGCAAGAGAAATCCCACAGAAAGTGAATGAGCGAAATCGGTTGAGCTGTTCAAACGCTATAGTCAAAACTGTTTTGCGGAAATTGTATGTCTCCTTCTCATCTTTTCCCATGCATGAATTTTAAAACCTTTTAACCGTGCGGCAGTGTTTTTACCGGTTTAAAATTAAAATGCATTTGATTGGAGAATAGTTAAATCATTTCGTTGCGTAATTTACATACCATAAGCTAAACCAACGGTGATTTAATCGCTCGAACACAATTAATCTTTTTTCAGGAATCGGTTTCCCATAATCTAAGAGAGGTCTGCTGAAAATGGTTGATACAACTGTGGCCCATGTGCAAACCTGTCACTAAAACTGAAAACTTTACAAGGACCCAGGTGATTCGATTCCAGTTTCGGTTGTTAATTGTAATACAAATGAGTACATTCTAGATCACACAGTGTCTACATCTAATACACATTCGGTCAGACACATGATGAACCTGAGGGAAAGAAATTTGGATTTCCATTCAACCTATGATAGTTGTGGTCTTTTTACGAACAAATGATTCCTTTGTACTTGATGGCCTGTTGATTACGAATCTAAAATATAACTTGTTCATTTGTGCTCATTTAGTTCTACCTGCCTTAAATTGCACTATTTTGGGAGTTTGTAGTGTCAGTTATTATATTAAGCCCATATACCTTATTCTAGCTTCAGGGCATCCCATTCTATTTATTCTACTTGAGCCTTGGCTGTTTTTATATGAGCGTATATGTGTGTGCCCTTTTTATCCCATTAATCACATGTCTGTAGCTTCATTTTGTCTGACTATAAATATTGAGTCTCGCTGCATCAAAACGGGAGTTGGCTTCCCAGACATCTTCCCTGCGTGTCATTTTGCTTTGCTCTGTTTTATACGTTTCATATACAAAATATATGTATTCACAAGTCAGTTCTCGTTATTCGACTTATTTAATTCCGTTATTGACTAACTCTACTTAAGTCGACGATTATATACGAGAATAGGCGATAACAATCATTCGTACGATCTTGGAGTCGGATTCATGGGCCACTAAATTGGTGAGACCTTCAACGAACATCTTCCGATCTAAATGAGTAGTATAGTCTATTAACCTATAAGCATTGATAACTTACAACGGAAGTTAATGTTGTAGATTCAAGAAATGTAAATCTTTGAAATCCTGCTTCACTCAACTCTGTAGAGTTCAAGGAAATCTTAACCTGGTATTGTCGTCAACCCTTCATTGCGATTTTAGTGCTGTTGATCCCAGCACTCAAATACAGGTCTCTCCAGCTTGATCAGTATGTTTGAACTAAAAACGCAGTCTTATGTGGTAAGATCACCTATTAGTTTACCTTAAAACCCCTCTGTTATTCGAAGGACGTCAAACTCCATGTTCAGCTTTCTCAACTATGTTTCAAAAGACTATTTCACATTAATCAATGACCTCCCTGAAAATAAAAATGACCGCGGTGTGCGGGATCGTTGGTGAGCACTGCTGAGGAGTCCCATACTAGGACGAAACGGCCGTCCAGTGCTTCCAGGTTTTCCATGGTGGTCTAGCTTCAATTGACTCATGATTTCAATCTGTGAAATTTCTAAAATCTCCACAAACCTTTTCTGAAAATTATTAGAACTCGGATTTCAGATAGTCTTTTCTTCATGGTAATACGACACTAAATATTCTTTCAGGAAAATATGCTTAAAGTTTCTCTGGTAGTTCAGGTAACGTTTTCCATGTTGCCTGTTTGTTTATTACCTGATATGCTATACTTAACTGATCCGTTCCTAAGATTGTTTTTGCTTGCGAAATAACAATTAATCTCTCAAAGTATTTTTACATCTCCAAACTGTATTTATCCCTTCTATACCAAACGAGATTTAGTAAAATAGCTAACTTTACACAATCAAAATGGCCATGGACCACAAATGAATTTGCAGGAAGAGTTTACCATTCTAGAATAAACATGACAGTAAGAATTCTTTCAGTCATTCCCCTACAATACATTCACATAACAAAAATTTGACGAAGGATCTACAAGAAGACAAACGCAAACTAATAAAACGCTTTCAGACAACATAAAATGTCATAGAGAGTGATCCAAGTAATGATATTTGAGACGTAATCTTCTGCATAGGACCAGTTTCTTAAATTTTTCATAAAATATATCAAACTTCGTGTTACCACTTGTAGGACCACAAATGGATTTTATGTCTAATTTCGGTCATGAAGTAAGAATCTCCGAAGTAGTTCAAATGCGATGATCTTGAATGCGACAAATATCTATCTTTTATCTTTTCACTAAATCTGGAGATTTGTTTCAATGGTTTATACTCTCCTAATTTTGAGGTATTAGTAATTTATAGCATCAGTTCATTAGATAATACAGCGACTACTCTTTTCTGATACATGATAAATATGTCATTACATCACTAATTTGCAGTAAATGAATGAGTAAACCAACCAAATTCCAAGTGAGTAACAAAACCATATCGTAGCCTCTTCAAGATCATCTATCTCTAAGTTTTATTTTGTTCAGTGCAACAATGAAATATGATGAAGATTCCTTTGGACCGGTTAGAAAATTTATCTAGGATAAATATCATATTGTAGGCACCTTTTAAACAAACCTCAATTATTTATTGTTATAAACTTGAAAAAAACATTGTCAGACATACATGAATAGTAAACGAGAATAGAATGGTGCATCTCTAAAAATATTTTGAATATTCATTCAATCTTATGTTGAAAGTTCCGGACGTAAATATTTTTACATATATTAAATTATAACACACCGTCCTTTTGAACAAGAATGTCGATGTTGTTTGAGATTATCGTTGGGATCATTTGAACAATCGTCATCGGTCTTCATATCATGAGCTCCTGAAATGAAACATTTAATTCATGTTATAGGTAAAAATTATGAACGTTAAGACCTTAAAATGTATGTGACTAGTTAACATCAGTCAAAAAAACGTAATTATTATTTTACATGACAAACAGGCCCCCAAATGCCCTGGTATAGCTGAGAGTGGGGTGGGGAGAGTCCACTCTCCCCCTCGAAACGCTCCCACACGGCCACGCGTTTACAACCTCTGCCAGGGAAGTTCTACTCACTGCCTTCTCGTGGTGGGGGTGTTGTTTACGAAAATGAGAGGATGAAAAGCGAATGTCCGGCAATTTAACCGGATCCAAAACCAATGGTGCACATGGGCTCCAGGATACTGAAGGAACAAATGGCGTATGAACCAATCATTGGTCACTAGCTACCATGGGACTGCATTTCCTCATGATGCTCCACTGCCTTGTCGATCAGACCTTTAGGTCAAAGGCTCGGGGTGTGGCCTCCTAAGAAAACTACCTGCTTCCGTCTGGGAACCGCGGGCAATATCACGGCCCACACACACACAAATATGGTGTGACGCATATATATTTGGTGCCCTCTTGTACCAATATTTGTGTATTCAAATAGATAATAATAATAATGACAAACAGGATGGAACTGGATTATTCTTAATTTTGACAACTTATTATGTTTTCCAGCTTACAATTAGTTTGACAGAATCTAGTAAGTAAATAAGTCCGAAGAATTATATGAATGTCATCAATTTGTAGTTGAAATGACTTCAACATATAGAACCGTTTTACACTGTTTTGCTCCTACACTCCGCCTGTAGCTCTCCTAGAGTTATTGCCGGTCCCAAGCGCGGTTAAAGGAGGAGGATCAGGCATGAGGTTAGAAACCCCATCCCGTAGAAAACTAACTCGGTAAAAAAACGCTAATCAGTAAGTAAGCTCCTACACGAATGAACTTAACACAATGGAAGGTTTAACCTTTACTCACAAAACAATGAAAATGCACACAAATTAAATGAAATGTAAATACTATTTTATTGATAGTTTATAAAGTTAATCAATATAACTAGTTATCACTGAGTATGGATCAAACTTTATATTAATGGAATTAAACGGTATTTAATAACGTGTATACAAAATTGAGAGTTTTGAACTCTATTGCTTACCTGCTTAAAGAAGCTTTAAAAAAACCGAATAAACAATCATAGTATGACAATCCAAAATACTTGAATTAATGTATTAATAATTTTAAAAATAGTGCAATATAAGCCAAGTAGACCTAGATGAACACAAATGAACGACTGATATTTGGAATTTGGAATTAGCGATCCATCAATTACAAAGGAATCATTAGTTCGTACAAAGACCACAACCGCCATCCAAATTTCTGAAATCGATTGTCAGTCAGTCAGTCAGTCAGTAACAACGCAGAACTTCGTAAATACGTATATCAGTTCGAGTTGCCATACCACATTAGCAAAGCGATGCAGTTGTCGATTCAAATCCCATAGTGGTAGAGGTAGTAAGAGTATAAGTAGTAATCGGAAAGATTAGGGTTTGAAAATGTTATGTACTTTATTTCCGCAGGTTCATCATGTGTCTGATCGACTGTGAATTACATGTGATCACTGTATGATCTAAAATGTACTCATTAGTATTAGAATTAACAACCGAAACTGGAACAGATCCATCTGGGTTCTGAAATTGTATTTATTTTCATGTTGGTAGTGTGTACTTAGATGATTGATATCTAGAATTCAAACCATATATTTTTGAACATTATTCTCTTTCATGAAATAATGTTAGATCTTCATTTCCTCAAGCTACAAATAATATGGCTTTATTTAAAGTATATTTTTCACATGGACTAGAGGATCCATTGAAAGTAACTTCATGGTGAGAATAAACAATCCAGTCAGTCAGTCAGTCAGCTACAACGTAGGACCAGGCACATATGTGCATCGGTCCAAGTTGCCATACCGCATCAGCACAACAAGATGAACACCGGATTCATAGCAGTGGTTAGGTCAAAGGTGGTAATATCTAAGAGAAAGATTGCATATAGAGATATAGTACAAGAAGAAAGAATTGGTTCGTAGAAAGAAAGGTATGAAGCGATTTTAATCTCATAGTTTAAGGGAAGACAGGGAGTGTATACACCGACGCCATTGTGATCGATTCTGAGCCATGTCACCAAGAGTCTCCAACCATTGGTTACGATAGTCACGCGGACCCCAACCAAGTACTCTGCATCTACCAACATAGCTCAGACTAGAGGTTAGTGTCATCAAGCACTGACACCACGTTTTGGTTTGGCCGCCCCTAATTCTCTTCCAATCATTTCTAACACCCGCTAGCATTGCACGTCGTGGTAATCGGTATTCAGGCATACGTAACACGTGGCCCAACCATCTCAGTCGATGAAGATTCATAACCTCATCAACTGATTTACCATCATTCCCTAATACCCTGCGTCTAACCTCACTATTACTTACCCGGTGATCCCAGCAGACGCCAGCAATATTTCTAAGTCATCTGTGGTCAAATACTAATAGCTTACGAGTGTCTTCTACTCTTAATGGCCATGTTTCGCTGCCGTAAATTAAAACAGAACGGACTGCCGCGCAGTATACTCGTCCTTTTATCGATAGACGGATATCTCACCTTCGCCATAGGTGACGCAAGTTGGCAAAAGCCAATCGAGCTTTTCGAATCCGTGCTGAGATTTCGTCCGATACCAACCCACTAGGGCTGATCAGACTTCCAAGATAAGTGAAGTTGTCAACGCGTTCGACTACTTCACTCCCTATCCTTAGTTCAGGTGTTAACGCAGACCAGTCCTGAAGCAACAACTTGCATTTCGAGGGAGAGAAGCGCATTCCAAACATCCTGGCATTGTTGCTCAGTGCTACCAGAAGACTCTGCATTTTGTCAGCGTCTTCACCAAACAGGACTATGTCATCTGCGTATCCTAAGTCGATAAGTGGACCTCCTGGAAGGAGATCAATACCCAAGAACTCAGTCGATGAGAATGTTATTTCCATCAGTAGATCTATGATGAAGTTAAACAAAAATGGGGAAAGTGGACAGCCTTGACGGACACCACTTGAGGTTGCAAAAGTAGATGACAGTTCGCCATAAGCTCTGACTCGACTAGTAGTGTTCGAGTAAAGAGCCTTCACAAGGTTTATGTACTTCTGGGGTACGCCTTTCAATGACAGACACTGCCACAGAATCTTGCGGTCTACGGAGTCAAATGCTGCTTTTAAGTCGAGAAAGACCACCATTGTCCGACGCCGATAAGTATGCCTGTGTTCTAGAATCTGACGAATGGTGAATATGTGGTCGATGCAGCCACGACCAGGTCTAAAGCCAGCTTGATTCTCTCGTGTTTGCAGTTCACGAGTCTTAGTTAGGCGTCTGATAATTATCGAGGCTAGTATTTTAGATATTATATTAGTTGAACTAATCCCTCTGTGATTGTCACAGGATGATTTTGACCCTTTCTTATATATTGGGACGATAAGTGATTGTGACCAGTCAGATGGAATAACGTCTAACTCCCAGATCTTAGCCAAAATATTAGTCAACCTAATCGCTAAAATTGGTCCACCATCCTTAAAGACCTCTAGAGCCAATCCATCTGGACCAACTGCCATTCCTCGTTTCAGATTAGCTATAGCCTTTTGAACTTATGCTAGAGTTGGGGGACCTACTTCAATGTTCCATTCACACTGCCTGGGAATGATGGGTAATTGTAGAGTAGCTGGAGGCCAGCTGAACTGCTTTTTAATGTGTTTCGCCGATCTTTCTAAACGTCTGGACTGGGAGCAGATGAGTGTCGTCTTTTTCCGAGATATTCTCACTTACATTTGACTTAGTAATTCCAGTTTCTTTTATTAATCTGTAAAGCTGTCTTGTGTTCCATATAGTCGCCGCCTTTTCCATCTCTTTTGCTTTCGTTGCCCACCACTGTTCACGGTCGTTTCTTAGACTTTTTCTTAACCTAGATCTGATTTGTTGTCGCTCTTCATCATGTTCGGAACCTGATGGGACGAGTTTGCGAGAATCCATCAGTGTGATAGACTTTGAAGAAATCCACTGGTTCTTTGTAACTCTGTGGTTGAAGTCGCTAATAGATGTCACTGCTGCTTCTACAGCTGCTTGTATGTCTTTCCAAGCAACATCTGGGTCAGCCTCGTCTTCAGAACGACCTAAGTGTGACCTCAGTTGTTCCTGGAACCTACTTTTGGTTTCCTCGCTACTTAGTTCGGTTCTAATGGGTCTTTTTACTGTGGCTTTTTTGCGTCCAGTGAGGCGCAAGCAGATGCGTGCCCGTATTAGGGCGTGGTCGGAGTCCAAGCAGGTACTCCAGAATGAGCGACAATCTTCTACCGACCCTCTCCAACGATGACTGATGGCAATATGGTCTATTTGAGTCCATCGTTGGTTTGGTGCAGGCGGTCGCCACGTTAGACGATGTCTCTCCTTATGCTTAAAATTTGTTTGCTAAAAATAAGCGATTGTCTGAGCACAGTTGCAGCAGACGGTCACCATTATCTGTTCGCTGTGCCGGAATGCTAAAATATCCACCTAAATGCCTTTCTGTTTGGTTTAAACTACATATCTGGGCATTAAAGTCACCCCCTACGAGTACTATGTCTGAGCGTTTAGCTTTCTGAAGAAGTTCGGACAGCTTTCTGTAAAATTCATCTTTCACTTCATCTGAGCTGCAGTCAGTGGGAGCGTAGGCAGAAACGACAAAAAGGCCACGACGTGTGTCCCTATCCTTCCGAGTTCTTACGGAGCCATTTAGCCGAACAGCACATAGACGACTGTTGACGGGGATCCACTCTAGCAGTGTTTGTTCCGCCCTCATTCTTAGTGCTATGCCTACACCTGCCAGTCCACGAGAACTGGCCATCGGGTCACCAGATACACGTAGGGTGTATCTCGTTGGCTCTCCGTTTTGCCGAGGTGAGGTTAAGTGAACGACCACACTGAAATCCTGTATGCGTGTTTCGGAGACACAGCATACATCAATGGAAAGAGACTCTAGGGTTTTAGCCAAGGAAGCCTGCTGACCGATTTGACATAGAGTGCGTACGTTGAAAGCTCCAATGTGTAGTTTGGAGCGAGGTTTCAGTAGACCTGGGACAGTGTTTTGAGCACTAGAATCGTTGGCTATGGTGACACTTGAGGAGGAAGCCGAAGGAGGAAGTTTAGGGTTGAAAGTCGATGTAGGAGGAATAATAGGAATTGAAGAGGAAGGTTGATTATGAATACAGTGGTCTTGGGTGCTGTTAGAGGTATGAGGGCTGATGTCACTTCTCGGTTGCCCACACCGTGGAAGGGTTCTCCTGGAGGTATCTGAAAAGGAAATTAGATTAGAGGCGGTCTCAGTGACCTGAGAGCGTGACCGCAGTGCCCAAGGGACAACTGCTTGCTGCCAGTCGCGCATGGCCTTTTCGTGGGAGGTTTTTGACGTGTTAGCTCCGTTCTTCAAAGGGCCTTACCGCCGGAGACGGAAATCCGTGAGGTAAGGTGACGTGCGCATTTTTAGGGTCGACCTTTTCTAACCCCACCCCTCCTTGTGGGAAGGCAGCATCGCTGTCATGCTGGTTGTCTGAAGGAAACACCTTACTGCTGTCACACCTCTGTACAATCAGCAGTACGATTTCGCCTTCGAACCCTGAGTTTGTTGCTTTTAGTCTTACCGCTCTTCAACCGATCTGTCTGACATGGTAGGATCTTGAGGAACGGTTGTTCCAGCCAGTATAGCTCGGTTGCTTCATCACGATAGGCAAGCCCGACCACCACGTCAAGGTAGCAACAACGGTCGGGAGAATAAACAATATTTGATATGAAATCATGTGAACTGTAATTTGGTTTAAATTCACTTAGAATCTGTTCTTCATATAGACCAAATTTTCCATCAGAAACAGATACGTTATGAGGACAAATAACATTTAATATGAAATCTTAATAATTGAGATCATGAGTCAATTGAAGCTAGACCACCATGGAAAACGTGGAAGCACTGGACGGCCGTTTAGTCCTATTGTGGTACTCCTCATCAGTGCGCATCCACGACTCCGCCTCGCGGGATTCGAACCCGGGACGTAGCTTCAATTGACTCATGATCTCAACTGTTAAAATTACTACAATCACCACAAGACCCCTTCTGATACTAATATGAAATCATTAGGATTTAATTCTTCTGAAATATTTTCCTCGAATTTATTATTACAACATTAGAGAATAATGGATCATTGAACAAATCGGTATCTATTAAAATTACATCGGATTTCCGATCATTATTTGATCCATTCAATATATTTTTCTCATTTTTATAGGACATTTCACTAGAAATATGTGAATCATCAGGGCAAACGATATCTGGTTAAATCACATGAGAAGTCCAACAAGCCGTTGATCTCGATAGATTAATGAGAAAACGAAGTTGATCTGATCTCATTGTTCTATCGAAATGTATAAAAGGGACTAATTGCTTTAAAGACGTTGATTGACTAGAAGCTTTTATCTCACAATTATTCTGACTTCCATTTGATGCACTTGTATTCATTGTGTTAGTCCAACTATATTCTGAATAGGATTCCCTTCACCTTTCTTGGCAAACATTCTATGAAACACAAGCTTGTTTTGGTTCGAATTTAGTTTCAAAGCTATGCAAGGCTAACAAGGCTTCATTTAATTCTGGACTAAGATATGACTCTATATTGTCTATGTCCACAGTAAAGTCATTGAATGAACCAAAGGAGGCATATAACTACTTCTGAATATAGACATTAGCTTACAAAATCGTCGATGAAGATAAATGATCAATAAAAATACCCAGCTTAATAAAATGGAAACTACGTGGTTTGTCATCACTAGTGGCAAAACTAACAGGAGATCCACAGACCAATTCGTTGTGTTCATTTTACTACACTTAAAGTATATGGCATGTCGAATTACGCGAATGAAATTTACCACAGGATGAGCAATTACCAAACATGTGCTCACCTTTGTAATCTGAATTACAACTCTTCAATGAATTATTATCTGCATGATCTTGAGCATGAATTGGATTAGGATAGCTAAGTAATGTAGTAAGATTCTGAAAGTCTCGGCGAATCACATTATGAAAATTTTCGCCTACATAGCATTCGAAATTAGTACACTACATGATTTAGTATTAGTTATTTGAGAGTTATATAGGGAAGTGGAATAGGCTTATCTGGGAATGCCAAAGTTTCTGATAAACTGTAAGCATCCTTTTCAATAAATGTGAGGAAATTAACTAGAAGTTTGTAATCCCTAACATGATTCCTGGTCATATTCTAGATTTTTAAACTTTTCCGTGTAATCTTCGAAAGCCTCAGGATTTGAATGTGGATCAAGCTGTCCAATCATAGTCTCCATTGCGACGTCAATATGATAATTAGATGTATTGCAATTATTGTACTAACTAAGAATTCCCGAATTAGTGCAATTTAAGGCAGGTAGAACTAGATGAGCACAAATGAACGTATTGTATTCGGAATTTGTAATCAGCGGGCCATCAGTTACAGAGGAATTACTAGTTCGTACAGGTAACACAAGTATTTGAAATTCTAAACTTGACCATGATTGCATGTCCGTATAGGGTTAATTTATTAACACATTAACATTGTTTAATGTATTTGTATAAGTGAGTTATCTGTCGTTTACATTATTAGTTGTCAATGTATATAAGTGACTACAATGAGCTAGTTAACTCTATTTTACGAGCAGATAATGATTAGTCTCATCATAAAATTTTGTTATACTAATCAACTGTAGTTTATAACGTATTTCAATATGGTACTATGTCTACAAAACAAGTCATGCAAATTACTCTTCAATCATTGTCATTAGCACTATAAGTAAACATTCGATAATATTCAATGAATCGTGGATTAGTTAAAAACAGACATTAACACCGTTAGACACCGGATCAGTGTTTTAAAGGTTAAGCGTTTGCGCTCGATACCGATAGGTCGTGGGTTCGAATCTCGTGAAGCATAGATCGTGGGTGCGCACTTCTGAAGGGTTCTATAATAGGATGAAAAGGTCGTCCAATGCTTCCAGGTTTTCCATGATGGTGTGTAGTTCAAGTGACTCAATAATGACTCAAACTCTCTATGAGCTTTAAACAATACAACATCATATCAATAAGCTAGAAAAGTATTATATCATGTTTCTATTAATTTACCTTCTCTTCTTGGTAGAACATTGTCTTGAAATTCTGTAGTTTTGTTACCAGCTGGTAAATAATGTCCAACAACGAAAATTATATTACCTATTTCTGATTTAGTAAAACCGAATCCAACTTCTTTCGTTTTTTTCCAAATCATTTGAGTAAAATAACCTGAAATAAAATATTGATTCAATTTATTAATTCGACTATATCCTGGGCATCAATCAATCTATCTACTATCTTGTTATCGAAGTCATAACAATCTACTTCTCTAATCAAATGCCTTGAAACTGTCAAGAATGGAGAGAGCCAGATCTCCCTCTCCAAATGATCTCATATGCCCACTTGCCTAAAACCCCTAAAAGGGAAGTCCTAATTGCTGCCTACTCGTGATGAGGGTGTTATCTACAAAATTGAGAGGACGAAAATCGAGTGTCTGGTGCTTTAACCGGGTTGGTGGATACTGAGAGTCCACCTAGGGGAGTTGGAAAACCCTAATTCTAAACTAATGGTGCACATGGACTGCCTCCAGGCTCCTGAGGAAACAAATGGCGTATGAACCAATCGTCGGTCACCGGCTACCATGGTAGTGCATCTCTTTAAGTTGTTCCACTGCCTTTTGGATCAACACTTTAGATCGAAGGCTCCGGGTGTGGCTCCCTAAGAAAACCATCTGCATCGGTTTAGGCACGCGGGCAGTATCCAAGCCCTTAAACATATTGAGTAACTTGTACGGCGCGTATTTATTCGGCGCCACTTAGTATCAATATTTATGTGTCCAAATAAATAAATATTAAGTAAAATTGTGACCAAAGATGATTTGTTTGTTCTGGTCTCTACCTTAACAAAATGCATTTTCTCAAAGGAACACTCAAAGTCATAGTAGTAATTCTATATACAGTAGCTACTGACTTGATGCAATAATTTTTGATCAAATCAGGGTTTGTGCGTTAAACCTACTCCTGCTAAGAACAGAATACTCATGTCTCAATTCGCCGTAAGTGAAACCACGAGTAATTTAAAGTATTATCAGATTGAATCTGAATACTTATTGAACATTCTATTTACAACTATCTATATATTTGATACGTTTATAATTTTTGTGTAATCGATCACCAGTTGTGTAGAAAAGACGTTTTGAAGTGAATTTAAAACAAGTTAATGATGCGAAACTGCAATACCATTATGGTGTGTGCTGATCTCGACAGATATAAGTAGTATGTATCATCAATCGGAAGTGAAATCTTTGGTGGTAGAAGGTTATGAAGAACGAAGAGAAGATAACGAGAACAGAGAGTGATTCGTGTGGAAACGAAGTTACAGCCAAGTCTGAGACAATTGATTAACATTTTGCAAATGAAGTATTCATTGTATGATTCTCAGATTTTATTAAGTTGTTCTGTCATTTTGTGTGTTCAAATACATTCGATTGTAATTAAATAGGGGTTTTGTGGAAATTATAGTCTTTTAATAGTCAACTGAAGGTAGACCACCATTGAAAACCTGGGATCACAGGACGGCTGTTTCATCCTACTGTGGAATTCCTCAGCAGACAAAAAGGTATGCCTATATCACTCATACTAAACCGAATGATGATAAAACGAACAGAAGTTTTTTTTTATGTATATCTGAAATCACTAGAAATCCAACCATTTTCGAAACTACAGTATAGAATTAAACAGATGAAATATTTTCACATACTGGTGAGAAGGCGTAGCCAGTGGAGCTAATCTGTGTCGGGGAGAAACAGGTATCTACCTCAGTACAATGGGAGATGGTCGCGCAATTTCGTGGATTGGTTGAAGTTAGACATTAACACCACTGGATGCCGGCTCAGTGGACCAGTAAGTAAAGCGTTCGCGCACGAGACTGAAGGCTATGGGTTAGAATCCCGCGAGCGGGATCATGAATGCGCACTGCTGAGGTGTCCCACAACAGGACGAAGTGGCCATCCAGTGCTTCCTGGTTTTCAATGGTGATCTAACATCAATCGGTTCATGGTCTCAGTCAAAAACTTAACAATCTCCATAACCCTCAAACTGTTACTTATAAGTAGTAAGAGAAAACAACAATAAATTTATAAACAAAGATAGATGGTGGCTAACAGTGGAATACAGGAAACGCGTTTTGTCCTATTCGAGACTTAAGGTAATATCGAGGAAGTTCGTACAGGATGTATATATGTCAACAACACACTGATCGATTACAGCCCTAAACTACAATGGGAAGATACAAGCAAACAACACCAATATCAGAACTCAGTAGCAAAGTGGATAACACAATGGAGATTGAAATAAACGGTATTACTTTTGAGTGCCAGAGTGAACATCAACTCTGAAATGAAGATATATCCAGCTGATGAGTCCCAAATAGAATGAAACACGTGTTAAACTGGATTCCACTGCTAAACATCACCAAGTCAATTAAGAACAATAACTTGCCTTTATGCTCTTGATAATTTTCATTATAGTCATAATTTTCTGACTGTTTATACCATGCTCGTATCGCATTAAGTCCTGAAATTTTTTTAGATTATAAAACATACATTAGTATAAACATGAGTAATTATCTATTAGACATTTCTTATGTGTTTCCGTAAAGAAATTCAGATCTATGTAGTGTATGCTAATTATGTCGGCATAAGTAGTATGTAACACTAATCGGAAGTGGAATGTCAGCAACATTATAATTTATGGATGAACCAATGAGATATAAAATAACAGGTCTTGGATTTTGGCGCGAAATCCATTCACCCACTTAGCTAAATAGAGTTTCGGCACTCTATCTGATGTCAATTCGTGATGAAAATCCTAAATCTGATTCTTAACCTTAACCATCAACTGTAAATCATAATTCTAATTTCACAAACAGGTTTATAACTCTCATTTGGTCCTGGCTATTAAGTGAACACTCTCAAGGTCAGTCTAGCGTTGCTCAAAGGTCATCCGTAAATTATAGTCTCACCAGAATGATTAGCAGCAAGAAATTGAAGAGAACGACAATGGACAGCTATTGTTATAGCAATGAAAGAACAATGAAGTTTGAGATAATTGATGAAGGATTTGCAAATGAAAGAACTTTGTAATTTTAATTTAAAATACATTCGGTTTCCTTCACCTATGTTCTCGTTCATTTCAATAGAAGCATCTAAAACACATTATGAAACAAAATGCAGTACAATTAGTTTGGAAAGATTAGGTGAAATGTTGATTAGTCTCTATTACCTAATGTATATCATGAGAGAATTACATCAAAATCTCTATTTCTTCATAAGAGCTTCAAGGCTAAGAAGCAGATCCAACATTGTTTCGTGAAGAAGAATAGTGCTGAAAAATCTATGGTTCAAATTCTAGATATTAGTGGTTTCAGTACACAAGTGACATGATGATTGTATACAATTCCAGGACGCAGGTGAGTTCGTTCCGATTGCAGTTGTTAATCCTAATACTAATGAATACATTCTAGATCATACAGAGTCTACATCCAATGCACAGTCGAACTGGCGCAGAATGAATATAAGGAAAGGACATAAATCGATCACAGAAACTAAACCTTCAATTTAAGCTGTGGTGGATATGATGTTTACATGAAATAAAGATTCCTTTGTACTTGTTGAATGCTTGATTTCGAATTCCAAATACAGTACATTCGTTCGTGCTTATCTAATACTTTTTTATTCAATTGAGTTCTTTCTGGGATTCTTAGTTTATATTATGATTCAAATACTGATAATTATGATAGTTCTATAGTAGCTAATAGTTGAATTCAAAAAAGACATATTTCATTCAACTTAACCTTCATCAACTGAATGTAAAAGATCTTTGAATCTCATTTACTCAATTTTGAATTAAAACTTCAGATGTTATCTTTGAAGATGAATAAACTAAAGACAACTACTTACTATTAGTAAAATGTTCTCACTATACATCACCAAAGTAAAATCTTTTGTCTTTTTGAAGTAAGATCTATAACAACATATCAATTCTATAGTTTTCAATACGATAATTCCAGTAAAAAATTTGAAGCGAAATAATCTTCAAGTAGATCAACACTTTAACATAACACATTATGCTGATAATATCATTCAGTAGAATGATGAAAACTTCATAAGTAAATTGTTCAGCTCAGAGAACAAAACTTCATCAAAACAATAATAATGTAGTAACAGTGTAGTGAACAGAACATGGGTGGAGACAATCGAATATTAATAAAATCTAACAATCATAAAGTAAATGCTTATTTTGCAAATTGTCCATTAGTTGTCTCAAAATGACTCAGACTTCATTGTTCTTACATTTTCTGGGACGTCTAACACCCGTGCTCCACTAGCCTGCTCAGCCATCTACATCCGATGTCCGCCCAACAGCCGCACATCACTCTGCTCCTCTCCGTCGACAGCATCTGCTACAGCCAACGGCGCCCTGTTAGAACGCTCCACTCGAGGCCACCTCTCCGCACCAGACTGCCCCAGCTAGCACCCCAGCACCAGGCACGCAACGGCGTTCGCAGAACAGCACATTCCTCCTCCTGGTTGGCAGCGACACCGAATGTAGTGAATAGAACACCGGTGGAGACAATCGGATGTATTTAACACAAAATTACAGGACTTGCTAATAAAATCTAGTAATCATAAAGTAAATGCTTAATTTGTAAACTGTCCACCAATTGTCTCAAAATGACTCAGACTTCATTGTTCTTACATTTTCATACAAATTGCATTCTGTTACCATTCGTTACTGTTCGATCCTCTTGTCTCGCTGCTGCTAGACCTTCTGTTCACGACTAATATCATATACTACTTATGTCAATATACGTAGCACACACCACAACAACAGAAGTAGAAGCATTTGAAGCAATATCAAACTTAATGTTTAACTACTAAATCTATACTTCAAAGTACATATCAACGATGAACGTTTTTTTTATTTTTCAAGGTCATTTTATCGACCACTATAGTACTCACAAATGATAAGTTGCATATAGATGCATCTAAAATTTCTTATTTCAATCATATTTACAGTCATTATGATACAACTGAGAAGATCATAATTGATTAAACTGAGTAATTTAAAGATGCCTAACAGATGATTTTTACTAAAACATAAGCAGTTTAGATGAATTATCAGAAAAGGGAGGGGGTTGTGGAGACTTTTAGTAATTTAACAGTTGAATTTATGTGTTGATTAAAGCCTGACCATCATGGAAAACTTGAAAGCAATGGATAATCATTTCGTCCTAGTACGGGTCTCCCCAGCAATGCATATCTATGACCCCATTCATGTAGTGGATTCGAATCTCGAGAACAGGATAGTGAGTGCTCATTGCTAAAGAGTCCCATACTAGGAAGAGATGTCCATTCAGTGCTTTCAGGTTTTCCATGATGGTCTAGCTTTAATTGACTCATGAATTCAGCTACTAAATTTAGAATAGGACAATTCATTGTAACAAAAAAAACGAAGTGTTTAACGCACTTTATGTTCACTAACTTTTTTTCATGTATTTCAATCTCAATACTACATTGCTTTACACAAATTATATCACAATTCTATTTGATTGTGAGTTAGGTTTAAGGCTACTACTAAACTTTGAAAGATATATCGTTCAAAAATTAACTTATTTACACAGAAATAAAGTTGTGTTATGTGATATTATACATAGAGATAAGTTAGAAATGTTAGCCATCAGGTGCCAATTCATTGGTTAAATGTTAAGCGTATGGTATGGGACCTGAAGGTTCTCGGTTCAATCCCCGTATAGGCTATTGATGCCGAATTTCGAAAATTCCCACATTGGAACTAAACAACTATCCAATATTTTTGAATAATTGGGCCTTGTGTTACGTAAACCTGAACACCGTCTACTACGACTTGCAATGCTGACTAGTGCTGGAGACGGTTGGAAGAAAGTTAGGGGCGGTCATACCAAAACATGGCATCGGTGCTTGAAGTCACTAACTTCCAGTCTGAGATATGTTGGTAGATACATACTACTTGGTTGTGGTTCGTGTGACTATCATAGCCAATGGTTGAGGATGTTAAGGGTAATGTCCTTAATATCTGACTCCAAATAATAATATTCCGTAACTGAGTATTTAAGGTAGGCTTAATCTCCTAGTAGAATTACGGATTTACTCGAGATTATTAAGAAGCCTGAACACCAGTTATGGAGATAGTTTATTATTAATGAATAATGATAATCCACAAGCGTATTGTGAGCAAGCACACGATGGGAACAGAGACAGAGAGAGTTTGTTAAAAATCCATATATATTTGAGGGTTAATCAGGTGTGGATAGACTATCGATTATCTGCACGTTGAAACCAATAGGAAAATAGTTTAAAAGTTAATGTACAGACATGCATTCGATCATACACACCGAAATTAACATAGTGAATTACGAGTCTAAGTTACAATGAATAGACAGATGATACAGTGGCCAAATGGGCTTGCCACATAAGCTCCCATCCAGAACATTGATGTTTTTATGTACCAAAAAAAAATTGGATTAACATCTATGTTCGACAAAGAGATAAAGAACGGAACTGTTTTTAAAATAAAAGTACAACTCAATATGATGAGTAAGCGCAAAATTGTAATAACAACTTGTGTGTTGAAACGTTTCATATCATGTATATACAAGTGTATATTTAACATTAATGAATTGTATAAAGTTAAAATGTAAGCATAATGATGATCCGTGGGGCCAATAAAAAAAATAGTAATCAAAATAAAGTAGGATTTTTATGTGTTATAAGAGTAGTCTCAGGATTTGGTCTAGATAAATATAGTGGTTGCTACATACCTATCTGGCCAATGTACTCTTCTTCCTGGTCTTGTTATAGTTTGTGCTGCTGCTGAACTTTGATTTGAAGTGTTGCTTGTTGCAGGTAGTTTGAATGGTGCTTGCTCTGCTGCAGGTTTAGACGGTTTTACAGTTGTCTGTTTTTTCTCAAAAATATTTCGCCTCATACCGAAAGGTACAAAAGGGCGAGTTTTACCTGTTGAGTTATCACAAGTTAAGGTGTCCTTGTTGTTTATGGGGATGTTTTGGAATAATAATTTCGTTTCCTTAGACTGCAAAAGTTTTTGTAGCTCCGTATCCAGCTTTTGATGCTTTGCCATTTCTTGATAGTCTATATCAGGGATCGAGAAGGTATTGATATTTAATCTCGATAGTGCATCTGCTGCCTCGTTTGCATTGCCTTTAATATAGCGTATATCAGCTGCAAATTGTGAAATGAATTCTAGTTGACGAATTTCGCGCGGACTATATTTATCATGATTGTGCATCAAGGACTTAGTTAGGGGTTTGTGATCAGTATATATCGTGAAAGAATTGCCTTCTAACATGTAGCGAAAGTGTTTGATGGCTAAGTAGATAGCCAACAGTTCTCTACCGAATGTGCTATATTTCGTTTGCGTTGCGTTCAGCTTTTTTGAGAAAAATGCAAGGGGTTGCCATTGTTCATTGACACGTTGCTGGAGTACAGCACCTACTGCTACGTTAGAAGCGTCGGTCATTATTGCTAAAGGTGCATCAACCTTTCGTCGTGCGAGTAATGCCTCTGTGCTTAAAGCGCTTTTCAACTGATCAAATGCTTGAATTGCTTGCGGTGTCATTGCTAATGATTTAGCTCGTCCCCTTAATAAATCAGTTAGTGGTTTTGCTAAGTCTGCACATTTAGGGATAAAACGTCTGTAAAAGTTTATCGTCCCAAGGAAACGTCGTAGTTTCTTGAATGAATCAGGCAAAGGATAATTTTTGATAGCTTGTGTTTCCTCAGGAACTGGTTTAATGCCTTGCTTATCAAGTACGTGACCTAAAAAGGTGAGGGATTGTTTTCCGAACTCACATTTGTCAGGATTGACCGCTAACCCATACTCGTTTAGCTTCTCAAAAAGCATTTTCAGATGAGTTAGATGTTCATTTTCATCTTTGCTTGCTATAAGTAGGTCATCTATGTAAGCATACACAAACGGTAAGCCCCGTACCACTTGGTCAATAAAACGCTGGAAACTTTGTGCAGCATTCCTTAATCCGAAAGGCATGCGGACGAATTCGTATAGTCCAAAGGGGGTAGTAATGGCTGTTTTAGGAACATCGTCTGGATGAATTGGAATGTGATGGTAAGCACGGACGAGATCAATTTTTGAAAAGATCGACACGTCAGATAGGCTATGAGTGAAGTCATGTAGATGTGGGAGAGGATATCTATCTGGTATGGTCCGGCTGTTGAGAGCTCTATAGTCACCGCATGGTCTAACTTCGGAAGAGTTTTTCTTAGGTACCATATGAAGCGGTGATGCCCACGGACTATCGGAGGGGCGTATGATGCCCAACTCAATCATTTTGTTGAATTCGTTCTTTGCGATAGCCAGACGAGAGGGATCAAGGCGTCTTGGACGTGCGAACACAGGTGGACCCTCTGTCTTTATGTGGTGTACGACGGTATGCGCCGGTTTGTCGTGTTTGAAACTCGGTCGTAATAAATCTGGAAACTGACTAAGTAAATTGACGTATTTGTCGTTCTCATGATGAGGTTTAACTAATAAATGTATGGAAGTCTCATTCGATATAATTCCTCTAATTTCCTCACTCTGTTCGGCAAGGACAAGTTTCCTATTTCTGACGTCTACCAGTATTTTGTGGAATTGCAGAAAATCAATGCCGATTATAGGAACGACGACGTCCGCTATGATGAAACTCCAGGAAAAATTAGATTTAGGACCGAAATTTAATTGCAACCGCCTTTTTCCGTACGTCTTGATGTCAGACCTGTTTGCAGCTTGTAGTTTTAGTTTGGGGTCAGGTGTGTTTTTCTCGAATGCAGTAGGTGGTACTACACTAACCTCTGCCCCAGTGTCGACTAAAAACTGTGTGCCGGTTCTTTTGTCTGTAACATATAATAGACGACTGTCTTGAAAGTTGTGGTCAGTGAGTGCAGTCGTCATTAACCTACGGTCTTGACGTTCCTTTTTCTGTGTGCTTGCAAAGTTACAAGGCGGAGTACATTTTTTAGCTTGTTTGCCATATGTTCTATGGTACCAGCAAATGTTGTGTCTAGTAGTGCTTGGACTACGTCGTCTACGGCTTGTGGATGTTCCTCTACGCTTGCTGTGGGAGGCATTCAATAATTGGATCTGAGCTATCTGTTTCGTAAGGGTATCAACTGATCGTCGTAACTCGGCGATCTCGTCAGCTGAGCTTGATTGGATTTGAGATACAAGGTGAGTCTTGGACCGTTCGTAAATTCTGTCGGCTATGTCTGCTAGTCTATCAAAATCAACGTCTTCGTCTCCAATTGCTAGTATCTGTTGAATGTTTTGAGGGAGACGTCTGAGCCACAATTGATATAGTAGACGTTTGTCTACTGTACGATTTCCTAATAAGTTTGTCATGTGGCGTTTTAACTGTGACGGTGTATTGTCACCTAGCTCTACGTTGGCTAAAAGTTGATCAATTGTCTGTTGGTCGGTGAGAGATGTGACACGAATGACCTCTCTTTTTAGACAATCGAATGGTGAGTCAGGATCCGGCTTAAAAATGACATCCGGCACTTGTTCAATGACGTCATCTGGCAGCAGTGAATTCGCATAACTAAATTTCGTACTCTGGTTTGTGATTTTGTTTGCAACAAAAAAGCTTTCCAAACGAGCAAACCAGAGTTCAGCCTTTCGTGGATTAAAGACAGGTAAAGGTACAGCGATGGCACCCACGGAAATAGATTTAGATGAAAGACTTAGCGAATTATCAAGTGCCATGATACGAAGAAGCAATAGTAATAATAAGCTGAGGATTGTAATATACAATATGAAGAGAAATCAAAAATAACAACAAAAAAATATATATAAGACTCACCGAAAAGAAAAATTGTCACTTTGGGTATATGTATGAGAATATACAGTAATAATTCCAAAGGGAAAATATTATGAGTGAATTTATTATGACTGTCAATGGATTGTTATTAATTATAATAATAATTCCAATATGAAGTTCTTTATGATACTCTTGAGGAGAATGCAGCAGACTTTGGAGGAAAATGGTGCGCGTTCTAAAGGCGGGTCACCAATATGTTAAGGGTATTGTCCTTAATATCTGACTCCAAATAATAATATTCCGTAACTGAGTATTTAAGATAGGCTTAATCTCCTAGTAGAATTACGGATTTACTCGAGATTATTAAGAAGCCTGAACACCAGTTATGGAGATAGTTTATTATTAATGAATAATGATAATCCACAAGCGTATTGTGAGCAAGCACACGATGGGAACAGAGAGTGTGTGAGTTTGTTAAAAATCCATATATATTTTTGAGGGTTAATCAGGTGTGGATAAATTATCGATTATCTGCACGTTGAAACCAATAGGAAAATAGTTTAAAAGTTAATGTACAGACATGCATTCGATCATACACACCGAAATTAACATAGTGAATTACGAGTCTAAGTTACAATGAATAGACAGATGATACAGTGGCCAAATGGGCTTGCCACAAGGACTCTGGATGACATGGCTTAGAATAGATCACAATAGCGTAGGTGTACACACCCTCTGTCTTCCCTTAAACCAAGAGATTAAAATTATTTTATACCTTTCTTTTTCTAATATATTACTATCATTGAAGTAACTGTTATATAATACACCCTTGTGGGCCAGGGTAATTTTACATTGGTTTTCAGGAGAACTAGACACCATCCAGACTTTCACATAACAACCCAAGCAGTATAGCTCAATCCCGTTTAATAGGAGAACCAGACACCACTCAGGCTTAAAATTTATAACCCGATGAGTAAAGCTCAATCCTGCTCCACAGCAGAACCAGACACCGTATACACTTTAACCCTACAATCTGAATAGAACAATTCAGTTCTTTGGCGCAAACTCACAGGTACCGAGCACCCTGGCCGACCATTCACAATATTCATATACACATTCACATCACATGTATAATTATTCCGATCAATGATCGCGTAAATTAATCATGCACACTATGAACATGCCAAAGTTGAACTATTCCGCCTACACAATAGTCAAACTCATTAATGTTAGCAATAGTGACATGCCTCACAATGTCCCGATGACAATGACCCTTGAAAACACTGAAAAGCACCCACTAGTATGAATGAAATCGGTTAACCAGCCAACTAATTTTGTGCATGAACAGTTAATAAAACTTGTCAACGTAATGCTAAACCATCTACAATATTAATGTCGAACCTCCAGTCTCATATGAGATCTTCAACTCTACGTTAGCAATATAGTTTATAGCTATTGAAATAACTACATCTATAAATTTGGTGTTTATCTTGTTCTACTAATAACTTGAACCGATACATATAGGTATCTAGTCCTATATTGTAGCTAACTGACTAACTGAATGATTATCTATAACGGTAATCATCAGAAGGGGTTTTGTGGAGATTTTTAGAAATTTCACTGATTGAAATCATGAGTCAGTTGAAGCTAGACCACCATGGAAAACCTGGAAGCACTGGACGGCCGTTTCGTCCAAGTATGGGACTCTTCAACAGTGCGCTCCAACGATCCCACACCCCGCGAAATTCGAACCCAGGAACTATCGGTCTTACGAGACCGAGACTGAAGTGTCCCATACTAGAACGAAACGGCCGTCCAGTGCTTCCGGGTTTTCCATGGTGGTCTAGCTTCAACTGACTCATGATTTCAATCAGTCTTATAGTAATTATCAAAATTCAACAATCCCCAATAATCTACCGTAGAAAAACAAAACAAACTTACCTGCAATTTGACAATTTTGTTGACCAATTATTAAAGCCATATTTTGACCACATATTAAATGATCAATTTTTTGTAATTGATGTAATTTTTGTAAATATTCCGAATGAATTTGTGCAGATTTTATTAAACGATAATTTAATTTCAATTTAGGACAATTATGTAATTGTCTTAATCTAATATGTAAATAAACAAATAAAAGAAAAAGAAAAGAAAGAAAGAAAACAAAAACAAACTCTTGTAATTCGAATTCTGGATTGTCATGAAGTTTTAAGCGGCTATTTTTGTCTTATTGAAAACTTGTCAATTGAAGTATCTTGGGATTTGTTAGATCTATTGAAGCTTCCAAGTCACCCGATTGAGATACGCGCAAAATCGATTTGTTTACAATAGCGGTTCTTTATTGAATAATACACAAATTTTAGTTACAAACCTCAACTTGTGAAGTGTCTGAGGCATTTATATGCGTCCTTCAGGTATGAACTAAAAAAGCTTTCTGTAGCAGTAACATAAAGAATGATGATAACATACGATAGTACAAAAGACAGCTGATAGCTGTGTCTAAATTTGATAACAGCTTATGAGCAACCGGAACCCGAACCAAGAGCTAAACAATATGGAAACTGTTGCGTTTAAACAAATACACAAAATTATGGATAACCGCTACAGTAATTAGAGTAGTGATTATAATGATAAATACAATGATAAGTACAATAAACGTTATAAGTATATATGAACACTTCAGAATATTACACTAGAACTCGCGATACAACATAGGTGTAAAAAATTGTTGGGAATACAACTGCTTACTGAATGTGAATAAGTAGTACAAGACAAAATACAAAAGAGTGGAAAGGGAGCCAATAGGAACAATGTAAGACAAACTTAACAGGGTTGTTGTCAATTTTAAGTCAAGTTAAGGAAAGAGGAAACTTGAGGAAAAAAGCTTTAGAGAAAATAAACTAATTGATCTAGTTAAAATCTCTTCAGGGTTGCTGAACAATCTTCAGTATAAGAAAGTTATGGTGCCACGTTATGAAACTAAAAATAATCTTCAAGTGTTGCATGGTCAAAACTCATTCTGAGAACAAAAATGGAAAATTGGAAAACTTTAGTGTAATATCCGTACGATGGGAAAGATAGAGAAGGTCATATAGATGAAGACGGAAATAAGAAAATGCTAGGAATATATTTAACCAATCTTCAGGATTTTCATAATGCCCTAGTCATCAAGGAAAAAATTTCCCACCTATACATAGTAACATTGATGGTCTTCAAATAAACACGAAATATGCTTGTAAGACGAATAAATTATGGACCGAAGATCATCAGATATCTTTCAAAATACAGCAAAAGGGATTGAAATCAACATCATAGATCGTTGAGCACTCACTAATGATATCATCAAAGACGATAAAGATCAATTTTATGAGAAACTATAGTCCATCACAGAGAAATGTCCAGACCTAAACAACCTCATCTAAGATCTAAACATCAATATCGGGAAAGAAACACTGGGTATGAAGACATCATAGGATGACATGGACTTGAAGAAAGAAGCGAAAATGCTAAGAAAATAATAAATCCACGTACTTCATAAACATGATCATAAGTAGTTACATTTTTCCCAACAAACATATACATAAAACAAAACGGATTTCACCGTGCCACGCTAGAGAGAACCACATCGATCACATCCGCATCAACAAAATTCAAAAGGTTCATAAAAGACGTAATGACAGGGGGAGGAGCCGATATGACTTTGGACCACTGCCTCGTGGTACCCACGCTACAGCTAAAGCTATAGATGTGTAAGTTGATTGAGCATCACCATAAAAGTTCCATACAACAGTCACCCTAGATACCAAGAAGTTCTGAAAGTTTGACATAGCTATCATCGACAAGTTCTAAGCTTTATGAGATCTACCAGGAGTAAGGAAAAACGTAAGTAAAACAACTGGAAAGAAATCAAAGGAAGAAACACAAGGGGTACTGGAGGGCGAGGAGCCCCAAGTTAGGAAGTGCATCCTTGTTGATACTGTGTTCAAGACACAGGAATGGCAGAACAAGAAGACACAAAGCAGTAACAGCCGAACAGGAGCAGGGAAAATCCAGGCACTAGCCGAATACACAACAAATAAGCGGATGAAGAGGAGCATTAGAGTGGACTCGCGGTAATATGTGGAAGGCCTAACAACGGAATCAGAAAACGTTACAAGAAAAAGAAGTACAAGAAAACTATGTGTTACGATGAAGAAGCTAGCAGGGAAATATGGTAAACCAGAGCGATTAGTCAAGGACAGAGTGGGCAAACCAATCACCAAGATTCATGAACAGCGAAACAGGTGGGTAGAACCCTTTGAATGTACTTCGACAGACCAGCTCCTCCGAACCTACCTGACGCTGAAGCGCTGCACACGGACCTCTCTTCCGATTTTACCTAAATAACAATCGAAAAACTTGGCGGGGCTATCAGACAAATCAAGAATGGTAAAACAGCAGGAACAAAAACCATACCAGCTGAAGCAGTTAAACCAGACGTAGAAGCAACTAAACGATTTTTCACATCCTCTTCATAAACATTTAGGGGAGATAATGAGTACCGAAGAACTGGAATATTGCTGAACCTAATGAAACATTCAGTCAACGTCGCACGTCTCCTTCAACACTATGGAATACTTACGAAGCTTAACATCGAAATATGGAACTCCTATGATCAACTAACTTGCATAGCCATGCATGTAGGACAGCTCACAAATCCATTCCAACTGAAGACTGATCTTAAACAAGGCTGTCTACTCTCAACTTTTGCGATTCTGGTTTTTGACTGGATTATGAAGATCACTACATCTCAGGAGCAGCACGGAATGAAACAAAAGCATTCAACACAACTAGATGATTGAGACTTTGCAGATGACTCGGCCTTACCATCGAATACACAATAATTCAGTCGAAGATAGCTAGTACAGTGGCAGCTGACACAGAAATGAACCTGGACATCAAAAGAAAAAAACTCAGAAGTATGACAGCGAGCAATAGCCAATTCTCACTCAATGGGAAACCTTTACATACCTGGTCAACGATTTATGCCTCAAGAGGAGCAACAGGCAGACGTAAGTGAATAACATGGATATTCCAGCTAATCACAAATCAAATGTGCTAAAACATGTAACAAAGGTTCACATCAAGAAAGAGCCGATGCCAATTAAGGCTGGACAGGAATACTGACAAAGGAGTAATAGAAACCCTTACAAATGAATACCTAATCTAGACAAAAAGACATCGTTTGAGGAAAATCCACGACCAACTAACATTGTTACATTTTACTCACAACTGACGGTTGATTATACATCAGGTACCATCGTTCAACCTTTTGAAATTCAATGCAAACTGATATCACATCAGTTGACTGATCAACAGCTGCAAAAGAACACAAAATAACAGTCATTTGATGTATGTGATTATCGTAACTACCGTCTTAAAATGAAAACTTCGTTCCATCCCCTCTATACTGTTTAAAAACTATCATTTAGCTACTAAAATTTTGCGGTAAAAACTGATATTTATTGAGTATTACTAATACCTCACTCGTCGTTTATCCACTTTTAAAATACCCACTTCAGCCTGAAATCTCACAGAAACCCATCATTCAATTTCACAATCATGGAAAGTTTACCATTGAGTCACTAGAGCAGCTACTAACCTGTCATAGGATTAAGTTATGTTCATTAACTGATCAGTTAGTAGTAACGAGTATCTGGTTTTTCTAACCCTTCTTCTCAAATAAACCATACTGAATCATTTTCAATATGATCTAAGTGATTGTCATCATGGTAGGTTAAGATAATTAACGAGAGACATCAAAGATAAATTTTTATCCTTACATACATGATTCTAATTTACTTCAAAGAAATACATACAGTCTCATATATCATTGAGTTAGGGATTTACTAAGAGTCTATGCCTTACAAAATAGTTTTACTTATGAAAACTACTTAACATTATACATCTATACCAACCTAGGACCTCCTGTCTCGCCAGAGAATGCTTAACTTCTAGACCATTGAGCTGGTATCCAACACTGTTATTGTTTAACTCCAACCAATCCACGAAATCGCAGGACCATCTTCCATTGTTTGAGTAGATACCTGCTTCTACCTGACATGGATTAGCTCCACTTGCCAAGGCTTCTCACTAGAGCAAAACGGCTGTTCAGTGCTTCTAGGTTTTCAATGGTGGTCCAACATTCGTCGGTTCATAATCTCAATCAAAAACTCAACAATCTCCACAACCCTATACTGTTAAATGTTATTGTTAAATACACTTGATTATGTTTTGATTAAGTAGAAACGACGCATTGAAGATTAAGAGCTTAAATCCAATGAAATGAGATTTACTTCAAATGAAACACAATGAGTGTTTCTCAATCATCACTCAAAATAGGTCAAGCCATAAACATACAAATAAAAATATATTATGGTATTTTGAGTATTCCTCGATAAGTTCTTCAGAAGCCAAAAAGAATTTGAGATTACTTCGTCTAATCGCTACAAGAAGCACAAATATTTCGAAAATTTTTGAATTATATGCTAGACTCTGATTACCTTGTTACTAAGTATACCATACTTCAACAAGCTTCTGCAGGTTAAACGTTACCAACAAACTTATAAGTACCCTTGTTTTCTATACATAAATGAACCTCGATGAGAAGCTTCTTTACTTACGTCGTCACTTTTCCCTACCATTCACGGTTCAAGGAAGTGCTCAAGAAGTCATTATCAAGCATTTCATTTGTAGACTTCTTAAGTTATGTAAATGAAAAGACAACCTACAATTGTACGAAACAGTCCAAAGTAGTTTACATGGATTGTCTACGATTGACAAATAATCAAATTAGATAAATTTAATCAAAGCAAACCATACAATTAAACTGAAAGCTAACTTTAATCGCAATACAACTAATCATTATGTGAACCATTTGTTAAGATTAAAATGATCAAGTATAAATAAAAGACTCTAATGATTGAAGGTTCTATAATAAACAAAGACACAAAGAATAATTTACTCTAAAGCATCAAATGAACTTTTGAGTTTATGTAAACGAAAGCCTCTAGTGTTCGGGTACAGAATATTTAACAGGTATATAAAAAGTCTTTATGTCAATGGGATGTTAATATGCCGTCTTCTTATTTCACCTCAGTAACAATGTTTGTATCTTTTGATTTAAATCATGATAATGTTTTGCATCCAGTAAATGATTAGTGTAAATTCACTTGGTATTGTTCCACTTGAATCTTCCCATTGATGTTTAGGATTGCAATTGACCAGTCTGTTATTGGCATATGTGCATACCATGCGTATTGTTTCGATGGGAAGATTCAAGTTAACAATACCAAGTGAATTTAAACTTCATCACATAGAATAAGCAAGCGACTATCATGACTCAGTAGCAAATTGGATTAAGCGTTGACGTTTGAAGTGAATGATACTGGATTCGAGTTTGAGAGTGAACATCAACCCCAAGATGTGGGTACATCCAGCTGACGAGTCCCAAATAGGACGAAACGTGCGTCAAACTGGATTCCACTGCTAACCACTATCCATCTTTGCTTATAATGATTAATGTAAATGTTTACAGTACATTAATACGGAGTTAAACTGCTATGATAAGTGGAAATGATCAACAAAGACAGAAGAAACTCGAATTTATTATCTTCCCATGGAGAACTGATGATTATCAATAAAGCTACATTAAAAAACAGTAGATCCAAATATATTCTAAAATAGGTTAATGGTTATAAACAGTTGTTTACGCAAGATACTCAATATGCGTTGGCCAGATACCATCAATATCAACCTACTGTGAAAGAGTACAAACCAACTTCCAACTGAAGAAAAAATTAAGAAATGACGTTGAAAGTGAATAAGACATACATTACACAAATCATCGAACTGCATCATAAGGCTGAAGAGAAACACAAGAAAAAAAAGTTGAATAACATACTATGTCAGTGATTGAAAGCAGATAACAAAAGGATGAATAACAACTAGAAACAACTGGAACGGATTGTCTAGGACCGAGTTAGATGAAAAATGCTGTTGGCTAGCCTATGCTCCTCCACGAGGAGTAACTGGCATAAGTAAGTAACTAATGTAATTTAATAGTCAACTAAATAACATAATATAATCCAAATCAATCAATCAATCAATCAATCAATAATTACTTACCGATTATTTTCTTTTAAGCATATTTCATTAAAATGATCTAATTCAATTTTATTAGATTTAATGATTGTTTGATTATCATAACGATCATCATCAATAACCATGTTAAATAATGAAATGGAAATAAAATTTTATAAAAGATAATCCATTTGTAAATCAATGTAAATTGCTTTTTTCTTCTTCTTTTTTAGTTTTTTCTCTTCTTTCTTTTTTTTCTTTTTTCTTTTATTATGTTAATTAGAGAAAAAAATAGTGAAGAAGAAAGAAAAAGCAAAGAATTCGATGAAAGAATAATTTTCTTTCTTTTTCTGTTTATTTTATGATGGTGTTATACTACTTATTCGCTTCTTCCTTCTTTATTTCGTCTATTTTTATTGTTGTCTGTCTGTTTGTTTGTTTGTCATTTTCATAGTATCTTATATATAATATGACTCCTTTTCATATTGTAAGCCAATCAATTAGAGAATAATTTCCATATGACATAGTAACAGAAACTGACATCAACTGCTTTGTTTTTTTTAAAAAAAATTTCCACTAAAGTACATTGAGTTAGTACCTTTTATTGATGATAATCTATTGTCGTCAATGAATAAATATACTTTCATTCTTGTTTACATAATACTAATATAGATAGATAGATAGATAGATATGTGTGTATATACTTAGTTTTCTGAAAAGAAAACAACAGTGATCAGTTGATGGAGTTAGATTAGAACAACAATCTATTTAAATAAATCTAGGCAACCCATTAATATTCTCTATTCAACTCTATCCTGGATTATCTTTTCCAGTTGTTTCTAGTTGTTATACATTCATTTCTACATTCAATTCCCGACATAGTGTGTTCTTTGATCTTCCACTTCTTTGTTTCTCTTCACGATTCCAAGTTAGTGCTTTCTTCATGATGAAGTTTCATGATTTTCTCAATGTATGTCCTATCCACCTCCACCATCTTTTCTTAATATCGTCTACAAATGGAAGATGGTTTGTTCTCTCCCACAATACGTTGATGATGGTAATATCCAGTCAACGGTCATTATACAATTTGACTCCCTCACAAATTGTAAACCAATCAATTAAAGAATAATTTTTGAATCACATAACAATAAAACAAACTGATATCAACTAGTTTTTCCATTTTTCACCAAAATACAATTAGTTAATGCCTTTTATTGATGATAATTTATTGTCATCAATGAATAAATATACTTCGATTCTTGACCACATAACATTAACATATATATAGAAAGATAGATAGATAGATAGATAGATAGATAGATAGATAGATAGATAGATAGATAGATAGATAGATAGATAGATAGATAGATAGATAGATAGATAGATAGATAGATAGATAGATAGATAGATAGATAGATAGATAGATAGATAGATAGATAGATAGATAGATAGATAGATAGATAGATAGATAGATAGATAGATAGATAGATAGATAGATAGATAGATAGATAGATAGATAGATAGATAGATAGATAGATAGATAGATAGATAGATAGATAGATAGATAGATAGATAGATAGATAGATAGATAGATAGATAGATAGATAGATAGATAGATAGATAGATAGATAGATAGATAGATAGATAGATAGATAGATAGATAGATAGATAGATAGATAGATAGATAGATAGATAGATAGATATGTGTATATACTTATTTTTGTGCAAAGAAAACAACAATGATCAATTGATGGAGTTAGTTTAGAACTACAGTTTATTTAAATAAACATTGATCATTCTCTAAAAATGTGGATATCTATCTAATATATATATATATATATATCAAATTTCAATTCATGTAAAATTATAAGAAGGGGGTTTCGTGGAGATTGTAGTGATTTTCATCAATTTAATTCATGAGCCAATTGAAGCTAGACCACCATAAAAAATTTGGATGTGCTTTTCTCTCTAGTATGGGACTTCTCAGCAGTGCGCATCCACGATTCCACTCATGGGATTCGACTCCACGAACTATCGATCAATAGACCATTGGGTCGGCTGGCATCTAACGGTATTAATGTCTAACTTCAACCGATTGGCAACATTTAACCACCTTCTACCATTATCTTCAGTGTGTTATTTTGTCATAACAGACCCGGTTAAACTCCACTGGTCACGGCTTCTCACTAGAACTCCAGGAAATTCATCTTGGAGCCAGTCATTATTGAGTGCATGGTGATTATTGTCACAAACGAGTTTTGGGGGGATTTTAGTAATTTAATAGTTGAATTTATAAATCAATTGAAACTATACCACCATTGAAAGTGTGGAATAACTGGAAGACCGTTTCGTCCTAGCACGGGACTCCTCAGCATTGTGCATCCAAGATCTAAAATTATTCAATAAAACGATGTAAACAGATTAGTTTAATAAAACGACACTGACGCCCAAAGTTGACCTAAACGCTTAGGTTGAAAAATGTTGGATCCTGTTGTATTTATAACACTGATCTGAGATGATGTAATGACCGAGTGAACGAACAATGATTTAGTTATGCATAAAATATTAAGTAGAAATATTGAATCAATCGTAAAATTCCATCGACTAACTTGTTTGAGTAATGTGCTACCTATGATTAACAACCCCTTTCTATAAACTGTTATAATGATCAACTTAGGAGTAAGCTTGAAGTATTCTAACCAAAATTCATAGTATCACTTCATGAAATCACTAATTCCTCAACTTATTCATGTTTACAAGTGTATCGTTGACAGTTAAACCCTATACAATAATCATAGTCGGTTATTGAACATTGACAAGCAGATAAAAAGGAAACAATCACATTGTCACAACTGGATTCGGATTTGATTCTATATTCGTCACTTTTTGAACTATCTTCTTTGTATTTATTTCACTAAAGTCTATTTTATTCTCATCTTGCAAACATTCCCTCATTGAATTGACAATGAACTGGCGAACATTGTTATCATATCTCAAATTCTTTATTAACATAATGAATAGTATATATTTTAATGCATAGAAACTACTACAGTTTATTGTCCAGTTGACAATTTAGTCCAAGTCCCTCTTTGTCACAATAGGGAATGAACATATGTTACTGTTGTGGATGCGGAGGAATAGACCAATAATTATCATGTTAAGTCCAATGGTGTCCTTGGACTTTAAATGGACATTTTCTATTGGTCGATATCTGTTCACTTGTCGAATATTGTACAAAATGTTGTTTTCTATTTTATGGTACGATGTGGTGTGCTTGATTGGTATATAAACAAAGTATGTTTGAAATATAATGATTCATATCTCAGAGGTTGTGGCTTGTGTTCTGGACTCAACTGGCTGGGCTGGACAGGGAAGCAGGACCAATCAGAACTGTAGGCTGTTCGTTCGTGTTTACGTGTCACTGACACTGTAATCGATCGATAACACAGGGTAGAAATCGACCTCAACATAAAGCCATAACAGTTACGTAATCAGTAATCGATTTCCAGTGATCACAAACACATGCTTTACCTAAAGTGCAACATTAAACAATAAAAACTATAATAAAATATTTCATTGAAGCGATTATTTGATAATCTCTCATGATCTCAAATTCATTTTCCTAACCATATGACAATTAATTCATGTCATTTGAAAAGAGTAAGACCAAAGAATACACTACGTTGGGAATTGGAAGCAGATATAAAAAAGGGTGAATAATAACTGCAAACAAATAGAAAGGATTACTTAACAAAGAGTTGTATAGAAAATGATTATAGTCAGCCTATACGCCTCCATGAGTGTGGTAACAGACGTAAATAAGTAATTATAGTTTTGAAATCATCAGAAGTTGGCATCATCATCACATTTTGAATGAAATAACTGTCTAGTCTTTCTTTAGTTATTCAAAAGTCTTTCAATGGAATGTCAATGTATGTTTGTGTTATCCACCAGAAAGAAACCTGATTATTGTTTTAAAGTAGATATTAGAACTTATAAGTGAATCGGTTTAATTCTTTTGTTAGAAGTGATAAATTACATCAATTTTTATTGACAAAAACAAATAAGAAGGGGTTTTGAGGAGGTTTTAGAAATTTTCACTGATTGAAATTATGAGTCAATTGAAGCTAGACAACCATGGAAAACCTGGAAGCACTGGACGGCCGTTTCATCTGCTCATTAGTGACTGACTCCAAGAGATACTCCTGGAGTTCCAGTGAGAAGCCGTCACCAGTGGAGTTCAACCGGGTTTGTTATGACATGGTAACACACTGAGGACAGTGGTAGAAGGTGGCTCGACTTCGCGGATTGCTTGAAATAAGAAAATAACACCGTTGAATCCCGGCTCAGTGGTCTAGTTGGTTAAGCGCCTGGCGCGAGACTGGTGAATCCTCGGTTCGGATCTCACGGGGTGTGGGGTCGTGGATGTGCACTGCTGAGGAGTCCCATACTAGAACGAAACGGTCGTCTAGTGCTTTCACTTTTCCACGGTGGTCTAGCTTCAACTGACTCATGATTTCAATCAGTGAAAAACAAATAAATGAAAATTAAAGGTGACTTCAAAGATTTTCACTAATATCCTTTTTTCAATTATCCAGGACATTATTATCTGCTGATCTCATATGATATTGTATAAACCATAATAATAGATTTCAAAACACGCCACTAACAAGTAGTAATGAAAAGGTCTCAATATTGATTTTCTAGTTGCTAAGTCATTACATCTATTTCATAAAAAATAGTTCGATGATATATTTCATAATAATTAACATTAAAATTGTAATGAACGAGAACAAACAAGTGTGCACGATTGTATATATTTGAACACACCATTGCAGAATCTCTTAATAAGATCTGAGAATCGTACAGTTAATAATTCATTTGCAAAATGTCAGTCAATCGTCTAAGACTTCATTGTTCTTTCGTTTACACAACCATCGCTCTCTGTTCTCGTTCTCTGTTCTTCGATTTTCATAACCTTCTGTGGTGAGACTATAATTTATGGATGAATCAATCAATCAGATTTACGATAACAAGTCTTAGATTTTGGCGCAGAATGTATTCATCCATTTGGTTAAATAGAATCTTGGCATTATGACTGATGTCAGTTTGTGATGAAAACTCTAAATCTAATTCCTAACCGTAA